ATCTGCATTTTACATTATGTGTCTCTAGATAGAGGATTTACCAGCCAAAACAGGAACTTTTGAATTTGCAGTTCATGTACTTAAACTTAAGTGTAGGCTTCATTGTAATAGATAGTGGCTGTAATCAAGGGTGGGTATGAGCGTTCACTGTTCAAAACAAATGAAGCAAGAAAAACAGTTGCTATCAACATTCTTTTTATTGCAGGACTTTACTACAGACTATAATGGAATTGTTCCACTACCGAGAAACAGCACATCACTTTGGGCTCATGTATATTAGTTTACATAAAAGTTTGGCCTTGAATCATGCATTACATCTTGTTTATCTAGAAGCCAAATATCTTTACATTCACACTTGAGAAATAACAATCCTATTTTCCCTGCTGTGGTTGCCAGATTAAAAATTATTCTGTTACCTTTTTATTATACATACCAGTGTATGGAAAAAGACAAACGCGGACAAACTCTCAGGCCTCTGGTACAGAGCAGTTAACAGTTATATAGACTGCATATACCACATAGAGCTATATACTGCATATTTTTTAATAAAAAATACTTGTTTGCATTGAAAAGGGGAAGATTATTAACTACTCATAAAGTAACTGTTTGTTAATACACTTGGATGTATGCTCTGTTGCATGTGTTGTGTGAAGGCACCATTTCTATATGATCCCAGGCATGTTTTTCTGCATTGTGTTCTATAAAAATCTAGGATGCTTTCACACTTGGTCCCTTTCAGCCCTCTTAACAACTCAGAGCTATTAGTCAGCATTTTTTGCGCATATGTAAACACTTCAACTGAACTCAGATGAAGGCATGAGAACACCAGGTATTTCTCTTTCTCCCACATGCACACAGCAGTGGAGGAAACATTGGCTCCCTTTAAGTCATTTTAGTCATACCAAACCTGTAAAAGCACTCTGCTGAAAATGCTGTTAAATTAAATATGATACAAACGCCTAACTAGTGGACTGCAGCTAATGATTATTATTCATGATGGATTGATCTGCGTCGTTTTTCTACTTTAGTCAATTTTTTTGTTTTATAGAAATTCTGAAAATAATAAGTACCATCAGACTGCCCTCGTTGGTCTTTTTTTAATTATGAAGACTGAGCTGTGTCCTTTTAAAAAGACTAATAAGTGATCGTGTCCCTAATTTCATGATACCTTCATTGGTCAACAAAAAGCAGATACCAGTTTATCTGTGATTAGTCGATATCAGCCAGCTGATGTATCACCAGGGCTTTAGCAATGAGGCAGATAATTGTATTTTTTCATGAATGGGATGTTGAGCTTTGTTAGCGTGTAGAGGACCAAATGTGCAGTGATGAATCATGCTCTAAAAATGATACTTAAGATGTATGTTTATTTTTATTCTCGGATGCTAAAAAAGTAGCTTTGCATAATTCATAGTTCAGATCATTACTTATTTACCAAATATTTACCATATATGTGGCCTTGTTGCCGCATCTCAGTTCATATTCTGTGTAAAACAAACTCTTTTAGGTCCCTTCCTCCCTCCTTTAAGCCATTTTTGTTCTGATTGGCTGCCCTTCACATGAAAACAGCAGTTTGAACAGGTCTCATGTGTTCACAGCCAAAGCGCCAGCCACTAGAGCTCTGTAGGATATCATACAGAGCTAAGATTGGAAAAAAATATTGCATCATAGAGATTTCAGTCTTCATACAGGTTTAATATGAGCATCCACCATGTTTTCGATGAAAGACAGCAGGAAAAAACCCAATAAAGTAAATACAGTAAAGCTGATAAACTCACTTGTGTTTTGTGGTGTTGTTTCTAAATGTGCACACTGCATTCACCTAGATTATGTTTATGTATGATGATTTTGATTTTCTTACCCAAAGATGACGGTGAAGAAGACCTTGTCAGAATTTCGGCGTACTCACCACGACAACTGGCAGGAGCATCGACAGTGCTTCACTGACGATCAGCTGCTCGTGCTCACAGACCTGCTGGTGTCACCCTGTTATTACGCCTAGACAGAAATTTCCTGCCTTCCCAGGTCTTCGTAAGCCATGTAGGACCACTACCAGAGAAATTAATTACACAACGGCTGGGAACTCCAGTCTTGTGCAGCCTGTAAAATAATATCTGATAATGCTAGCAGGGCGCTCTCCCGCTGGAACCTCACTTGCCACCGTTGGCCTTCACTAAACCCAGCAAGTAAGCAATCCTGGGCAAAATGGTTTCAAATTTTTAACTAGCATGGTATTTTTAGTCAAAGGTGGCCACTTTAGAGGGAAAGGTTTGGTTTATATTGAGAAAGTCTTTTTATTGCTAATCATCATTGTTCCGGTATGTACTTTTAAAAGAGTTCTAACTTGTGCACGTTATTAAATACAAGGAAGACATTCCTTCATGATAATGTTCATGTGTGAAATTATAAATATATATAAATGTATGCAATATAGGCAGCACGGTGGCACAGTGGTTAGCACTGTTGCCGCACAGCAAGAAGGTCCTGAGTTCAATTCCACCATCAGGCCGGGGTCTTTCTGTGTGGAGTTTGCATGTTCTCCCCGTGTTTGCGTGGGTTCTCTCCGGGTACTCCGGCTTCCTCCCACCGTCCAAAGACATGCAGCTTGTGGGGATAGGTTAATTGGATAATCCAAATTGCCACTAGGTGTGAATGTGAGTGTGAATGGTTGTCTGTCCTTGTGTGTTAGCCCTGCGACAGACTGGCGACCTGTCCAGGGTGTACCCTGCCTCTTGCCCTATGACAGCTGGGATAGGCTCCAGCGACCCTGAAAAGGATAAGCGAATGGATGGATGTATGCAATATATTCAGAAAATATTTGTGAAATTGTAATCTAAAAATTATCGTTGTTGTATTTCTACAGCTATATTGTATCCAACACTTATAAAGCTATCTTAAAGCACTCATGATATATAATACCTCATATTGACATTAATTATATCATTTATATAAATAAAAAGAAGAAATAAAAATTGTATATATCATATTAGATCATAAAAATCTGTGACCTGCAGTAACAATGGTGTCATATTTCTATAGGCCACATTTTGTCATGTTCTGCATTAGTTCTGCACTGAGAATTTACCGTGTCCTGTGAAATAAATGCATTATTTGTAAAGTGTGGTGCTTCTTTTTGAGTGTTGCATGTTTGCAGGGTTGGCTGACTGTATAAAGCACCAGCTGTTTATCTCTGTACAGCCATGTCACATAGCAGTACACTTCATTCTGTGCAGAGCTCAAACATAAAAGCTTCTTCTTGCGAGGATAGTTTTGTGCCACTGCGCCCTGTTACTAGAGCCTGTGCACATTAGCACCAGCGTAGCTAGACCCCTTTTACTGCTGCAGCCTAGTAAAATCTCAGGTCTGAGTTTTAACAAGTTCCTGTATGTCGCACAGGAGTCATTTAGATTTAGATTAAGACATGAAAAGAGCAGGGTTTTTGTTTTTTTGAATGCACAATGTCAAAAAGCTTTTAGTGCTAAAACTTGAAATATATTCTACAGTTGAATTCTCGAAAAACTTAAGTGTCTAAACTTTGTGTTTTGACTTATTTTCATAGATTATATATTAATAATTATCCATCTGTTTTCTTAACCCCTCATCTATGTCAGGGTTGTGAGGGACTAGAGCCTATTCTAGCTTTAAATTGGGTGAGAAGGAGGGTAAACAGTGGACAGATCACCAGTCCATCAGGATATATTTACTCACTGGCTACTTCATTAGGTTCGCTTGTTCAATAGCTTATTAACATAAATATCTAATCAGCCAGTCACATGGCAGCAACTGAGTTTAGCATGCAGACATGGTCAAGAAGGACTGCTGAATTTCAAACTGAGAACCAGCATGGGGGGAAAATGGTTATTTTAGTGACTCTGAACATAGTTGTATGTCTTAGTATTTCAGAAACTGCTGATCTACTGGGAATCCCTACACAGCCATCTGTAGGGTTTACAGAGACAGGTACAAAAACAAAATATCCAGTGAGCAGCAGATCTCTCAGTGAAAATGCTTTGTTGATGCTAGAGGTCAGAGGAGACAGCTTTGAGCTGGTAGGAAGACATAGTAACTCAAATAACAACTCAGTACAACCACAGTAAGGAGGAGAGCATCTCTGAACACACAACACGTCGGACCTTGAAGTCCATAGGTTACAGGACCAGAAGACCACACCAGGTGCCACTCCTGTCATCTAAGAAGAGGAAATTGAGGCCACAATTTGCATGGGCTCTCCAAAATTGGACAGCAGAAGTTTGGAAATATTGCCTGATCTGATGAGTCTTTTTCTGCTTTTTTGGATAGTAGGGTCTAATGTAAACTACATGAAAGCTTGGATCTATTCTGCCTTATATCAGGGGTTCAGGTGGTGGTGCAATGGTTTGAGGGATATTTTCATGGCACACTTTGGGCCCCTTAGTGCCAACTGAGCATTGTTTGAAACCTGCAGCCTACCTCAGTATTGCTTCTGATGATACTCATTTTTTTATGTCCACAGTACGCTAAAGACTGTAACATTATGACTGTAAAGTAAGCAAAGGTAGGTTGATGTAGCAGAAGAAATAGCCACTTGTGTCCCACTGAGTGTGTGTGTGTGTGTGTGTGTTAAAGATGGAATCACAGTTCGAGCTGTCACTCTTTTATTCTGCTTGTTGATGTTTTTCTGATGCAGTCGTGTTGAATTTGATGTGTTTACTGTGCTGAGACGGAGGCAGGCAGAATGAGAAGCAGCCGATGCCGGCTCCCCTGTGCTAGAACTACTAATCTTGACACAGAGTAAGTAAAGGTTAGACTAAACAATGTGTGTTTGCTTAAAGTGATTTTCATGACAACTACTTCATCATAGCAGGAAGAGAGATAGGCTGTATTTAGAAAAGCTGCATTACCAGATTGGACAATTTTTTTAGCTGTATTTATTACAGCGTTTCAACCGATTTGTCAAGTTTTAGATTTATTTTATTAAAGTTACTAAAAAAAAACAAGGAAAAATAACTGGGGCGTCATTATATTTTAATTGCAATAAGGTTTTATTTTTTAATAAACGGTTCAGTAGAATACTTCAGGAACACATTAGACTAACCATAGCAAGACAGAAAAGAAAAGCCTACACTGACAATGAAAGGCTGTCATTTGTCACAGCAGTGCATTGAGCTGAACACTAACATTAACATGCTCACGGTGACAGTACTAACGGTGCTGATGTTTCTAAAGTTCTAAAGTGAAATGTTTACAGTGTTTACCATGCTAACAAAGGTTAATTAGCACTTAATTTGCAGCTGCATCTGTCATTGTTTTTGTGTCTGATTATGAAACCAACTTAGAGCTAGAGTGTGCAAAAAACATGTGCCAACCCTAATTTCTTTACATTTTACTTCCAAGGAGCCAGATTTTCTTCAAATTCTTTAAAGTGAGCTTGAGCAGTAGTTCTCTAAAAGCCTTGTTCTTTGGACATGGGCTGCTCTTTCACTCACTTTAAGTCCAGTCCTTGTACCTGACCATTTTTAGAGGAATAAAAGAGCACCAGCAAGGTGATTTCCAAAGCGCTATTAGCTGAAAACTTGGCATAGCTTGTCATGAATGTGCAGTGTGTCCTATCGTTTGAGGGAAACTGGACAACTTGAGGAGAAAAGACAAAATATCTACAGCAGATAAACAGTATCTGAAAGTCATGTCTTAAGATATAGGAAAAAAATCTGATATATTCTCATATCCATCATGCGGTAATAGCTTCATTTTAATGATCTCACACTGCTAGACTGGCCTCTAGCAGTGTGAGATCAGCTTGACACAGAATAAAACAAAAGGCAGCCAACATCCAGAGAAGAGCTTTAAATGTCCTTCAACAAGCTCAGAGAACTATTCCTGAAGAATGCTTAAAGAAATGACGAGCTTGCCTAAGAGTTCAGTCATGTTGAATATTGACTTTCAAGCTTTATAGAATTATACTCTGCTTTTACATCCCATAGTATATTTCCATATTTCAATAAATCGCTGTACCCATTTCCCCATTTTCTTAACAAAATATAAAGAAATGAGGGTTGGCTCAAGACTTTTAGCTCTATATTTAATAAACGTTAAACCAGACATGAAGCAGCTCAGATTTGAGTGTTAAATGTTTAATAACTAATATGCAATAACATTAGCAATTCTTTCTCATCTTGGCTAGTCAACGCCAGATATTAAATACCTATATTTAAACCATATATATTGAAACTGTTCTGTAGGGATTTATATTGAAACTTAACTTGCGATCTGTACATTTTTGGTAATTTATGTTTTCTATACCAGTTTATGTGTTATTACTTTGAAGCAGCTTTCAGTGGATATTTATTTGCACTGAAATCCTGAACAAAACAACATTATTTAGTCAACTAATGAGGTCAACATGTCCCATCCTACATGTAACAAACATCTTTATTGGACAAGTTTACCTTAAACCCTGAGATCATGTGACGAACCCAGCCCAATATAGACATTTTTTAAAAATCAACTGCTGTTACTGAATTTTTCTGTCCGTTTTCTAGCCTCTCTCTTACTAAAGTTTCAAGAGAAAACAGATGTGTGTCTGAGTCCTCAGGCAGAAAAGTCCTCACGGCGTCAGCCAGCTGAAACAGGTACTCTGTATTTTTCCCGCTTGGACCGGTAGAGTTGATGATCTGAATGGCGATCTCCTCCAGGGGTGCGGGGCCGAGGTAGTTGGGATTGTCCTTGGAGCCGATGTAGATCAGCGTCTGGCTTGGCGAGCAAGTGAGTGATGGACGGGGGTGAAAGGTCACCGTGACGACCTGATAACCACCTTTTTCTCGGTAGTCGAGGTAGCGCTTCACTTCTTCCTCCCGGCCAGTCGGCAGTTTGTAGGCAACACCCCAAACACACCCCTGAGGAAAGCAAAATGGCTTAGAGGTCCATAACCTGATGACATTTTCTTAGGTACACCTGTTCAACTGCTTCTTCACACAAATCTAATTGGTGGCAGCATCTCAGTGCATTTAAGAATGTAGACATGGTAGACAAGAATACCTACTGAATTTCAAACTTACTGGTCTGAGTATTTCAGAAACTGCTGATCTACTGGGATTTTCTCACACAACGACCTCTAGGGTTTATAGACAATAGTTCAAAACAGAGAAAATATGTCAGTGTGGACCAAAATGTTAGAGGAATGTTTCCAGAGCCCTTTTGAATGTATGCCTTGAAGAATTAAGGCAGTGCAAAAAGGGTTCCAACCACTACCAATGCCCATGTCCTTAATAAAGTGTCCGGTAAATGTATTAGTATTTACATTTGATAAATGATGATATATAATCACCTTGTCTAAAGTCACAATAAAAGTCAAAATAAAAATAACTGACATAACCAATGTTATGTTCAAAAACACTAACCATACTCACACCCAGAAAATTATTATAATCAATTACTCTCTTGCTTCTACGCTGTGAGTATTTCTTATTGTATTTTATGTTTGCAAACATCCAAGGACTTTACCTTGGACTTCAAGAAACTATAATTGATAGTTTTCAGCATTTATTTCAAACTTATCACACTTATCAGTCAATTCTAAAAACGGATTCCTGCCATGCTTTACTACATCACAACTCATACTACAGTACTGTGCAAAATCCTCAAGCCACTCCTCATTTTTAGACATTTTGCTTTTAAGAAGTCAGACTTTCAAGTTCTTTTTTAAAGACATCTTGAGCAACAGTTCTTCAGGCTTTCTGAAGTCTTTCAAACTTTTTCCTTCTAGACATTGGCTGCTCTTTCACTCATTTTCATTCCAGTCGTTGATCATTTTCAGAGATTGTTGTTTTATTTTATTTGTTTGGTTGTCGCACCGAAACTGGATTGTTCAAATTGCCTTTAGTAAGTACAGACATGGTCAGGAGAGAGGTACAACATTGAGTATCTGTTGGCATCTGTGAAACACGGCTTAGTTGTGGTTTGGGGCTGCATTTCAGCCAGTGGTACTGGGTATCTTATCAAAATTATGTAATAATAAGCATTGAAAAGTACAGTCAGACTTTGATCCAACATAAAAACACTATCTGGGAAGCATTTGGCAACAGACTGCCACTGGAACACTATTAGACATGGATTGGCCTCCCCAGAGCCTAGACCTCAAGATTATTAAAGCAGAGTGGGATCACCTTGACAGAGAACAGAACAAAAGGCAGCCAACATCCAAAAAAAAGACTTCTGAAACATCTTTAGACATCTGGAGAACTATTCCAGAAGTCTCTTTCCCATTTTCCTAGCAACATAAAAAAAATGAGGGGTCACTCAAGACTTTTGTACAGTACTGTCTATAAGAGGTTTATAGACAGTCTTCTTTCCTGCGCCGTTTTCACTCCTGTCTGCCTTGTAAAAGCACGAAACTCTGCAAAACTGTTTATAATTAAAGTATAGCACTTTCTATGTATGTAAGTGAACACAAAAAGTTCTCTCTGAAGTGGAATCCAATTTGTGCAGCTTTGTACACTGATCGCCTTCACACTCCAACTCTTGTCTTAATTATAGCCAATAAAACAAGAATACATAACAAGGTAGGTGGATTATGACCTTCAGGTAGTAATAATCTCTCATTACTGTGTAAATAACATGTAATTTTGTTTGCTTCCTGCAATGCAAACATCAAAGTGATGACAATAAAGGCATACGTCTTGTACCTATTATGTAATGAAGTTACCAGTCAATGAAGGAAAGAACAAACAAATGGGGGCTAGTTTGAGTATGTAGTCCGTATTTATGGAAAAACATCAAGAATATGACCAATATAATTTCTTCTTTTCTATTATCGTTTCTTTCGTTTCCATTAATTTTTGATAATGAATGGTTCTGCTCATCTGTCAAGCTATTAATTGAATTTGTGGTTGGAATCACAAATTATTTCTTTCTGACATCATAAAGACTTTTTAATACTGACTGATTAATAAAGGAATACGTCATGGGCACACTACAAAGAAATTGTTATTGCACCCTGATGTTAAGAAAGGGGGTATAACTCACCTCAGGATTCTCCACGAGTGTCACAACCCGGCCAGGCTGCAAAGAACACACAAACACACATAATAAATGGCTTTGTCATTAAATTGCAAGTTGGTTAGCACACATATTGCAGGAAATGGGATCTTTCTGAAAGGTTACAGGCACGGTGGGGGAAATAATTATTTGATCCCCTGTTGAATTTGTAATGTTGCTCACTTACAGAGAAATTGGTTAAATTTTCATTAATTGGTTTTTATGGTAGTTTCATTTTAATGGAGAGAGACAGAATATCAACCAAAAGTCCAGGAAAAAAGCATATTACATAAACACTATAAATTGATTTGCATGTCACTGAGTTAAATAAGTATTTGATCTCCTATAATCTAGCCAGAATTCTGTGTTCATGTGGTACACAGATTACAATCAATCGATTACAGATGCGCTTGATTTCAAGTTATATTTGTAAAGCATGCTTGTCCATAAAATCGGGTTTTTCCATCCCAACCTCTCTACCTCCATAGGCAAGACCTAAGAGCTGGATAAGAATGTAAACCTCCACAAAGCTGTAATGGACTGCAAGTCAATCAACAGTAGGTTTGGTGAGAAGGTGACAACTTTTGGTGACATTATTTGGAAATGAAGGAAATAAAAAGATTATCAATCACCCTATAGAAAATCTGTGGGGGGAACTGAAGTTTCAAGTTGCCAAGTACTAAGGCATGTTTTGCTTGGCGATGAAATACTTCTTTCAATCAATGACATGCAAATGAATTTATAGCTTTTACTTCTGAATTTCTGGTTGATATTCTGCATCTCACCGTAAACAGTTCGAGACTGTTTATTCCGTTGTGTGTGATCAAAATGACAAATTCAGCAGAAAAACAAACAATTATTTCCTCCACTGTATAATATCACCTGTACACTTTATAATGCAGTGGTTGCCAGACTGTGAGGTGGACACGTATTGATTGGCAGCGCTTGGCAGACCAGGAGAAAAAGAGTGGATAAAATTAGAATTACATTAGAAAATGAATACGGTTTTTTTTTTTTTTTTTTTTTTTAAATGACATCAGAAACAGCAGTATGCGACATTACGTGATGGCAGAGCTTCAGTTCATCCTTTGTCATTTTTTTTTTTTTTTTTTTTTTAATAAATAGGACAGGGGGAATGAATGAGAGAGAGAGGGGGAGAGAAAGAAAGAAAACCAAAGGGGAGAAGAGACGGTGAGAAGGGGGGGGGGGAGAGAGAGAAAAAAAAAAGAACTCCTGGGTCACCTGTATGGAGAAAAAAAAAAAAAAAAAAACAAACAGAGGAGACAGCAAACAACAAAGAGCAACATAATAATAGAGAAAACAAAGCACCATCACAATAAACTAGCTAGTCATAGATATCAATATTTACTAAATAATAAACGATATTGTGCAGCACGCAAGATAGACAGCGCACAGTGTGCTTTGAGGCAGCAGCCAAGAAAGCTTTAGTCCGCGTCTGTGAATACCCATGTGTGCATACCTGTGTGGATCAGCATGCTTGCATTCCAAAGGTTTCTCCATGTAATGATCTGCTAGGGAGTGTGGGGGGGCCACAGCCCCGTCCTCCAGGGTGTGAAGCGGGTATGGAGGAGATCAAAACTCCAGACATCCAGAGGCCCCCAGAACACAAGAGACCATGGAAGACCAACAGAGGGGCAGCCGCGCCACTGTCCCAGTAAGAGCTGAGGAGAGTCCCAGATGAGGGCTCGCCCAGCAGCCGCGGAGCAGAAGTCAGGGGGAGTTGCAGTGACGCGCCCGTGAGCTCCGCCGGCCCCCAGCTGCGCCTGAGTGACCGAGCCCTAGGCCGAGAGGCCGGGGGCACCCCACCTCCAAAGGGCCTGAGCGAGCCCCAGGCCCAGGCCCGACAAGCGGCCGCCAAGGAGTGAGCCGGTGTGTACCCGGACGCCCACCCCCAGACACAAAGAACCACCAACACACCGACACCTGAGGGAGTCCGCCACCGGCAGGGGAAGTGGTGGTGGGTGGAGATAGGCCTCCAAACCTTGGAGGGCCTGAGGTGTCCCCAGAGAGGTGGCGTCTGATACCCAACCTGACATATAGACACAGACATACAGGCACACACAGACACAAACATCCATTCCCACCCTCATGCTCTCATATGCACTCACTCCACACTCAACCAACGTGGAGACAGACATAAAGAGACGCTGTACACACGATCACACTCCCCAAGCGTACTCTACAAACCGGGTCTAGGTAATGAATACGTTTTCTAAAGCTGGGCAAACAAAGAAAAGTTGTGGTTTTAATCCGATATAAGATTACAGGAGTCTATAAATCGCCATATTAGGGGGAATATTGCTAACATGGATTTAAATATTAAAGGGCAACATCTAGCCCATTTATAAGGAATAAAGGTTAGGACATAAAGGCGTTAACTTTGTAATAATATAAGCCGAAGTGAAGTGTCTTCAGTAATGTCTGCCGTGCACTAAAACACACTGTAGCAACATTGCATCAGGTAGTACTTTTTTCATTCTGGCCGCTATGAATCAGTTCCCAAAGCCAGCAAGGTATACTCACCTTACCCGGTACACCTCGATGGTCGGTACTGCCTTGCCAAAACCGGCGACTGAAGCCTTTTATGTACCCAATTCTCTTTTCCTCGTAAGGAAAATCTACTTTCCATATCAGTGAGCCGTAACCGAACACCCACATGATGAGAGGTTAGGCTAACAGAAAAGGACGGGTGAGCTGGACGAAATAGTCACCTGTAATCGCGACGCCTACGACTTATAACAAGAGCTACAGCATTATAAAAGCTGACGTGTTCACCTGTATGAGTAAAGGTGATATCTAAAAACAGGAAAACGTGCTTGAAGCACCGGTTCCGTGTTCAGCGGACAAACTGTCAAGTAATACGGATTACGTAAGTTCCTTCACTTCCACTAAATACCTTTCAGTTTAAATGACAATTCTGGAGAATCTGCACATTTTTGGCCAAGAAAGCTAAATTATGACTTTTCGGTTGTTGAATCAAATGATACCCATTCTTTTCGCACCGTGTTGTGCTTACAGCATATGCCGTATCACTTTCTTGCAAATGCTTTCGGGCCACCTGCTTTTAATTTGAAGGTGAAGCCACAATTCCGGATGTTTGTAGCTATTTCTGTGCTGGTTTTAGTTAGGCCAAACGGTACAGATAAGCAAGAAACGCTGTCATCGTGATGTATGTCTAAATAGCAAGAGATTATAATTTTGTAATAAGTAGTTTGAATATGTCCATGACTTCCTTGTTACCGTTCAGTACAGTGGGATAAATTTAGTTTAGGTTCACATCAATTTATTTCAACAAACTTTATTTTTTTAACTAAAAAATAAAACAAACAAGACAGAAATATTATTAGATTAGTCTACTATTGTATGATATTAATCGTGGACGTTAACGATTAATGGATGTGTTAATGTGACCTTTTCTTGTCAAAAAAAAGTCACAATTAACTCTTAATAACATACAAAACTTTTGTTTCCTTCTTTATTTTTATTTTTTTAAATCTCGTCTTTTCTCGAATGTTGGGTTCACCTATTACCCGATGTACCCTAAACCCCTACAAGATTATTTTATTTTAGGCTATGGCTCTCATGATTTCTTTTCAGCTCATTTCTTCTTTTGTGTGGCCTTTTTTCAAACATGAGCTGGGACAGATAACACAGGGCTTTCATCCTGACACCAGGGGGTGCTGAGTTTCTATTTCCCACAGTGTGTCATGGCACGCTTCTTTCATGTATGCCGTGAGAGCACTGATTCAGAACCAAATTAAGTGGACAGCAGCAATATGGTCTCTAATGTCATGCTCATTCCCCTGCCTCTGAGAACAGCTAGTCAGCAAATCTTTTATCTGAGACTCCAGTTTGGAGATGCAGCTCAATAGCTGAAATCCCCAGCTGTGGTAGCTGAGGAAATATCCACCATTTAGATACCCTTATTCAAGAAACCAAAGCCAAACTTGGGGTAGCTGAGCTGATCGCTGAGTGACAGAAGATCAGAAGTCAGCTCTAAACTGGAAAAAAAAAATGGAAACAGTAACTGTGTTGGTCATAAAACCTGTTGCCATCTACTCAAAAACATATTCTTTTTGCTTTTTAGCCCCCCGCATGTTATCTTTTACTTTTATAATTAAAGTATGTTGTTTTGTAAATGCACCATGTGAATTGAGGTATTTACACTCATCTGCGATTTAAGCACTCCTTGGAAGTATTGAATGGACTCCTCTTTGACTTCAAAAATGCCTCTAATTCTTTGTGGCACAGATTCAGCAAGGTGCTGGAAATATCTCTCAGTGAGTCCATAATGACATGATAGCTTCACACAGCTGCTGCAGATTTGTTAGCTCATATCCCTGACATGGTCAAGAAATCAGTTTGAGATGACTGGACTGGATTGTCACATGGTGTGTTATCAAGATGGAAGCGGCTATCGGACGATGGGTACATTGTGATTATAAAGAGATGGGTATAGTTAGCTACAATACTTAGGCAGGCTGTGGGGTTTAAACAATGCTTGATTGGTACTAAGGGGTCCAAATTTTGTCAAGAAAATATCCTCCACACCGTTACACCACCGGATTGATCTATGCTTTCATGTTACTTACAGAAAGTTCAGACCCTACTATCCAAATGTTGCAGAGAAATGGAGATTCATCACAACAGCAAACATATATTTGGGGCGATTGTGGCTCAAGAGTTGGGAGTTCGCCTTGTAATCGGAAGGTTGCCGGTTCGAGCCCCGGCTTGGACAGTCTTATGTCCTTGGGCAAGACACTTCACCCGTTTCCTACTGGTGGTGGTCAGAGGGCCCAGTGTCCGACAGCCTCGCCTCTGTCAGTGTGCCCCAGGGTGGCTGTGGCTACAATGTAGCTTGCCATCACCAGTGTGTGAATGGGTGGATGACTGGTTGCAAAAAGTGCTTTGGGGTCCTTAGGGACTAGTAAAGCGCTATACAAATACAGGCCATTTACCATATTTTCAGTGTTCTTTTATCCAGTTTTGGTGAGCACCCATGTGGTTTTCTGCTGTTGATGTAGTCCACTTGCTTCGAGGTTCAGAGGTGCTCTTCTGCTTTCCTCAGTTAAAACAAGTGGCTATTTAAGATATTTAAAATATTTAAGATTCTTCTTAGTTCTTAGTTCAAAGTAGTCTAGCTAATCTCCTCTAATATTTGACATCAACAAGGCGACTGTGAATCAATGCCACAAATAACTTGCAAACTGTATCTCTATGCTGTATCTATCTTTGACACTTTTATTAGTGTGGCGAGGTGTGGTTTGTGGCACAGCAGCAGGGGAGGGGTGGAGCAGTGGGTTCGGGGTTTGGTGTCAGCGGAAGACCAACACAGCTGATTTCCATCGTATAATCACGCCTTCCCTATTAGAGTTAGATGCCAGGACCTGACGGGAGAGCTGCGTGTGCTGCACTGGAGATAGACAGCTGTAAAGATGCCCAACCGAAGTCACTGGAAAAATTATAAATAAACATTCAATTACCTGCAAAGCTACGTGCCGTAGAAAATATTTACTTGTGTTAGTTCTCGTTGTTTGTTACCTTTGTATTCCAGTGACAAACAACATAGACATTTAGGCAAGTCTAAACAGTTTGTTCTGCATCGTGTTTGTGTTCTAAGAAAAGAAGCTAATTCTTTTTTCATAATGAAGAACATGTTTTATTTACTCGACTAAAGAAAACACATGCATTTCCTCTCTAGGTGAATTTGTTGTGTCCTGTTTGGTAGATGGTAAACAAAGATGTTGTAGCGAATGTGAAGATAACGCATGAGAAATGACTGGAAATAGCGTTTAGTGTAAACGTTCTGTTCCTCTATCTAATCAGTACCAATCTGAAACCCATTTTCCCCTTTAACACATTCTAGTACAGAGCATAAACATTACATATCTTATAAATTAAATCTACAGTAATCCACCCTTTATTCCAGATTTAATCAAAAGACTCATTATGTCAACAAGATAATCAAAGCAAATATGTCATCATTGCAGAACAATCATTCTGTGCTGGTATGTAGGTGGCTATGCATGCACAGCTTCACTCTGTGTTATTTCTTCTCCCAGTTTCTCCATACACGTTACATCAATTTGATTCTCTTAGGCTTTCTTCTTCTCTGACAAGCATTTCCTCTCAGTCTCCTTCTCCCCGTGCTCCTCCTCTCTTTGTGTTCCCTCTCCAAATGCAGAGCTGCTCCTAAACCTTCCTGTTCTCCTCCTGCAGAGTATTCTGTTTATTCGACAGGGAGGTGGCCAAGATAGTTCTTTGCTCGATCATTTCCCTCTGAATTTTGTTCATTTTTGCAAGCCCACTTTCACGTTGGAAGACTGCATTTGAATCAGAATTGTGTTATTTGATCGGTTTTTTGCTCTCAAAATTGTGCTCGCTCGCAAAAATTCAACCTGCCTGGGTCAGTTTCCTTGACATGATGAACCCTACTGAAAAACATGTAGCAAACACACCAAGGGGTAAATCAGATAATGCCACATCAGGTTGAATCTATGTGGATGGATCAGACTGTATCATGCTTGACAACTGACAGAGAGCACTGGTTTCCTTTAACCTCATAACCACCAGTTTTTCCCTGACCTCACATTTGATGTTGTAGTCGTGTAAAAGAGGTTCAATACACTGTGAATCCTAATTTACTGATGTTATCCTTTCCTTGGAAATATCAGAACAAAGAGCTTTTCTTTGCTGTAGGTTATGAACTGATGATGTAGTTTGACATTTAATTCGAAGGACTTGTTGACTAGAAAGCTTGCGTTAGAAATCATAAAAGCATGGCAGTTGAAATTTTGGGGCATTTGTATTCATTTCTCATGGTGAATTGGGGACTGAAATTTAGAATATTGTATATGAGGCTCTGTTTTACTTACTTTTAAAAAAATCTGTGACTTGTGAGTGTCTCAGCTTTAGGGGGGCACATCACCAAATTACAGGAGTGCTCCTTTAAGACGAGTTACGCTCCCCATGGTCTATTTACTCGTACTGTCTTTCCAGCTCTGAGTGGGTTTTCTTGTTCAGACGAAAAATCCAGGAAAATGTGTCTGTTGCCATCTTAGTCCTTTGTATTTTGTGCCAAGGCCTCTTTCTATTTAAGAGGCCTCTTTCACTGCTGTTCTTTGTTAAATGGAGCTCTCAGCATTCAGGACTTCTTTTGATTTTGTGTGTTCTAGCAAAGAGATTTTAATACTGTGTGAGAGATTCTGGCCAGCTTTATTAATTTGCACTCAAGAGTTTTTATTTTTTTTACAATAAATATACCATCCAGTTACCAACAGTTTTTTTCTAACTAGGGAGAGAGAATTACTTACATAAACAATGTTGTAAGAGAGAGATGAAGATTTCTGAACTGGAATTTAAGAGCAAATTCCAAAACAGCACGTTGTGGTAGGACTGTATCTTCCATGGGATACAAAGCTCTTTAAACTTTACTTCAGGGCAAAGTTTTTATGTGGCATTCGCTCACATTTGTCTGTTTTTTCTATAGGTGCTCTGAAATGAAATAAATCCTTCAAAACTACTGCCCAAATAAGTGCCGAGAGGCGTTTTTAAGATGCCTGACAACTGTCTAGTCTTTCTTCTAGAAAAAAAATATTTTTAATCATTCTTTGGTGTCAAATTGAAGAAATCCAACATGTGAATTTCATTGGTCATTTGTTCTTATCATTTTCTTAAATGTAGAGGTAATGTGATTTTACTACCCACTTTATTAGATACACTAGTTCAGCTCCTGACTCTCGTGACAGTAACACCATGCATTTAGGTATGTAGACATGATCAAGACGACCTCCTGAAGTTCAAACCGAGTATTAGAATTGGGAAGAAAGGTTATTTGAGTGA